CAACGCGTGTCAGTGTAGAACGCGTGTCACTGTCTGTGTGAAAATAAAATAATCAGACGTCTAATTTGAGTCATTGTCCGAATAAATAACTCGTGTGTGTTTAAACGCAGTGGTCGTCGCGCAGCGCGTGTTCGAATTTCATGTAAATAAACAATGTATTTTACACGCGTTGCATACGTCAATATGAGTCCCATATCGAACAGGACACGGCACGACGACTATCGTCCTTTAGTTGGGACCACGACAGAACCACGGTTTATGTTGAAGTTAAAAGTTCCTCCACAGATCTGTGCAAACAAGCCGTGGAACTGCGGTACTCCACTGACGGAATGACTTTCGAATGACATCGGTCGTCGCTGACTCGTGAGCCGCACACTACAACTTCGTTTGTGATGTTGCTTGCCGGTCGTGGATAGACTGAGTCTTGGTTACCGGTTAAATGTTGCTCATTTGGCGTTGGTAATCTTTATTTGGAACTGAGTAACGCCGCAACGTCGCCAGCAGAAACCTCCTGGCATCTCGATGTTGATGGTTGCGGCTCCATAGTAATCGCTGATTTTACTTCGGCTCTAGGCTGCGGATGGATCTTCCGAGAGCCCTTCAAGATTTATAAAACTCAGTTTCCAGGTGGTCAACAAACATTAAGTTCTCCCAATCCTAGTATTCTATGTGATGTACATCTAACATGCCAAAAATGAACGATTGGTGAACGATTTGAACCTGACAAAAATAGCAGAAGGAAATGTGTTTACAAAATAAAAATAGTGATTACTTTAAATAGATACCAGGAAGGGGAGGGGAAAAGAAAAGTTATATAACATTTTATTATTCAATAATTTATAAAAATACATAAGTTTGTCCAACTCCCTGTGATACAACACCTCAGACACAACTCATTGTACTCTGCTTGAGTGTGGGCAAAAAGTTACTATTTGAATTTTTGATATCTTTTTTCATTAATGAGAAATTTGACCCCGAAGTTAGAGTAACTGTTCAGCAGGAATGGCTTTTTAACTCTTCTGTGATTTTTGTTGGCTTGGCTGATTTTGTTCATACTTGACAGGTAGGTTGTACCATCACTAATTGGAAAAAGAATTCTGACCTACCGCTACCATGGCAACAGCCAAAATCTGTTTTTTGAATACTTTCGCTCCAAATTTATTACCTCCTACCAGTATTGTAATAGCAGTGTCTAAATGATCATGCCTTTTATTCAGGCTACGTTGCGCACTGGTAAGAGATCACCGGCGCCGACATTGTTACCACTGTCAACGTAATCCCAACGCAGCTTTGAACTTTGAACAAATTGTAAATGCTGCCTCCAATCTAGAAAATACTATCGCAAAACGGTTGGAAATAATACATTTAACGGCTGAATACGTCCTAACAAACATAGTTGAACTCTGGTGATCTTGCCCTTGGTTATATAATATAATTCCCTTTATCATAGTTTGTTTCAATATAAATATGCATTGTCATAATTAATTTTGAATACAAACAAGTTTTGGGGTTGAACCAACAGTGGGGAATCAGTCTACCAAATGTCCTTAAAAGATGTAAATATCTTACAAAAACATTGGTGCCTTATTTGTTTAATTATTTTAAGGGACATAATTTCCAGCTTTATTCAAAGTAATTCAGATATTTTAGTATAAAAACAAATGTCTCATTGCAAAAAAAGTGCTGCATTTACATGTGAATAGATTCATAAAACATGCAAGATAACAGAAAATTTTAGCTGGCTTTAGTCCAAGTATTTTGTACAGGTGTCTGTCAAAAATTAATGATTCACTGAGACAAATATGAACTGCCTCATTGTGTGACTACTGTATTATATGAAAAGTAAAAAAAAAAACACCCTTTATGAATAGCTATCATGTTGCAAGCTCTGCTTTGTATGCAAATTAACTTAAATAGTTAGTTGGTGTCCAGTGGA